TCTGTTTAACGAAGTTTACGTAAATCACGCTTTAACGAGCTTTCTTCGATCGGGGCTCGATTCTCTCTTTCCAAGAGATCTGCGTTACGATTCGAGCGTCATCGTAATACAACTCCATTTGCGTATCGCTACTTTCTCCATTCGATTAACCAGAATTTGAATAGAAACAGATTCAATTGCACGTTTTTTCGAATTACGCGTTCGATTGAAGATAAAGTTAGCCAAAGGTAGGAATCGTATCTTCGTTCGAATAACAGTCGGCCCGACAAACGTTTCGACGATCCTCGAAGAATGAAACGAAAAAGATGGAGAGAGAGAGAGAGAGAGAGAGAGGAGATCGATTTAATAAACGAAAGATCCGGGTTCTGGTCGCGATATCTAGGTCCGAGCGGATCGAGAGACGTTTTTACGTAACCGGTACAGGCCGGTACGTAAAGGCATTGTTGCATTCGATTTTGCATTCCATTCGGAACAAATTGGAAAGGAATCGCGCCGAGGACCGTTTGGCGATCCCACGACGGACAAATCGGTGGCAAACTCCGGATAATGCGTAACGGGTTACGCCAACTTCGCTATCTGAATCTTCGTATCCCGCGTACCGGTTGACCGGACCCGACCCCGCGCACCACCACCACCACCGCCGCCGCCATCTCCGGCTATTACTCATAACCATTAGGGTTCGGGTTCAGCTTCACCGATGATATTATCCGATGAAGGGTGATAAGCCGTTTAGACCGTTTCCTCCTCGTGTGTACGTAGCTCGCGTTGCCTCCGCTTGTAACAAAGAAGAGAGAGAGAGAGAGAGAGAAGGGTTACAGACCGATCCGGATAACCGATAAGCAAGGACGCGCTTATGAAACTTGGCACCTCGCTATCCGCCTCTGACATCTTCCCCCCTCCCCCCGCGCTCCTCCAAATAACAATCCGTAAATGCTACATCGGTGTCTATCATTAGTTTACGTAATCGAGTTACAGATCTGCACGGGGCCGATTCTCTCTCGACGTTGATCGAGCGTCGTCTCGCCCCGTTTCACTTTGGAACCCCTCGCCCCCTCCGCCCCGCGTGCTCGGTTCGGTCCGACCTCTTCGATTCATGCCTCCTCGAACGGAACAGTTTGTACGATACCGTCCAGACACTTTTTCGATCGATCGATCGATCGCCGGGATCCTATCTCGCCGTGCGATGCCACACAACGGTATACGAACAATGGTATTCGTTGGAATGGAAGACGCGCGCACGGTTACGCGCGCGATGATAAATGAAGCACGCGATTCCCTCCTTTCCGCCCTCGACATCGCTCCGTCCCACGGTCGATGTCGTCCTCCCACCGTTCTCGCCTCGGGGGAGGAGGACCGAATAAACGACGCGTATAAACGCTGCCGTTCCTCGAGGGCAGAGCGCCTCGACTCGAGAATTACGTCCGATCCTCGGTGAAAATTAGGTGAAATTGGTGGAATTGCGATCGTCNAAAAAAAAAAAAAAAAAAAAAAAAGAAAAGAGAGAAAAAGGCGGATTTCAACTCCGTTTGTCTCGTTACCCCGTTTCGTTAAATATACCCGATTCGCTTCGTCCCCCGACGACGAGCGTCGTTTCCTCGATAAAGTGGCGCCGCCAACCATCCGATTCGATACCGTTCTAAATGACGAAAGACGAGTGTCGCAATCGTTGCAACGCGAGAGCTTTACAAGGGAGGGATATATTTTTCCCCGTGGACGTGACGCGAAACGGACCAACGAATTCTCTCTCGAAGGATATCCTTGACATTTAGCCGGAACATTGTTATTATACTCTCGTTACCGTCATTTTCTCTCATTACTCTTAACACGGAGAGGAGGAAAAAGTGGCGACCGTGCGTCGCACGGATACCTAACCTATCCGACCCACCACCACCGCCGTCTTCGCGCGGATACAGGACAGGGGCCGTGCGTGCTTTCGCGTTGATTACGCGTGTACCGTTATCATCAACGCGAGGAGGATCCGATCGCAAGAAACGGCGAAGGAACACCGGTCCTTGATAAATAAGATCGGGTACGAGCGCGTCTCCTTACCCTTCCTCGACGCCGTCGTTTCGGTGGTCTTCAAAGGAAAGCGATGACTCGAGATAACGGGCAAAACTGGCTCGGGAGGTAGCCGCGAACCCGTTCGATTAACCACGTTCCCACATGTGTATATATATATATATACACACGATATATATATACACACGAGGATGTATATACACACGAGGTGTTGGCAGAGTCGAAGCGCGACGAAGCGGCGAGAGGGGATGGAGAAAAATATGGAAAAATGTTGGATCGGGGAGGAAAATCGGTTAGGCGAGTCCGAACGAAACGAAGCGGTTGGAACGGCGTTTCTTCGCCTACCACGGCACGCTCGGGATCGGGAGAAATTCACGGGCGATCGAGCATCCGCGGGAACCGATAATGGTTCTCGAGGAGGTTTCAGGTTCAGTGGAGTACCCGCTCCTGACGGGGAGGGTCGGATAAAGATCTAAATGCCTGCATAGCCGTGTGTACGGCACGCCGAGGAAGATCCTTAAATACTGGCAAGGTAACGAAGGTAAAGGTTTCTCGTGACGTCCGCTTCGGTGCCGGAGCCGTCAGGGGTCAGTGAGCGCTTCGCTCGGCAAACCCGATCGCTCACCTCCTCCTCCTCCTCCTCCTCCTTCTCCTTTTCCGTGCGCTATGTTTTCCACTCGCCAAAGGGGACTCCCGACCAATATTCCGCTACGCGATTTATCGCCTAGCCTCGGGTCCACGGATTCCACCGAGTGGAAACTATTAAGCGCAACTCTGGCCAGGGAGCGAATCTCTCGCGGGAAAACTCTAACTTTTACGAATCCTTTGATAAAAGGATCGCGATCCTATATTAATTTGCTTCTCGTCATATTTCCACGTAGCGTAAACGTATATTCGAAAAATACGATGGATTTGTCGATTAATATCTTACGCATCAAATCGTGGCTATGTCTGCCAACTTTCTAACGCCCGCCCACTTAAACGTCCCATTTAAGGTATCATCTGGACGCCTCGTGGCTTGCTCGCTGATTTCTCGTTTAACGAAAACGTTACGTTTCGAATTCGTTAGAGACTTGAAATTTTATTCGAATTTTGACTTGGACGAAATATAAGGAATATCACGACGAAGTAACGACGCAGTAAATATTCTAAAGATGTACATTTTCACATCCATTCCACAATTTGTATCGAGATCGTTATATCGCAACGTTTTTGAGAAACTATATCTATCGATTACTCTACACCAGAGTTTAAACAGCAATCGGTTTAACGAGAAGTCTATTGCGATTGTTAATAGGATTTTTCTTACGTTTCTTCTCTGCTTTGCCAGACGAGTCTCGAATCTTTCGCGCGTACCAATCTGTTGCGATATACCGTTTCCCGTCTCGCGCCAGTTTCGTTGGCATTTCTCGCTTTTTTCCTTTCCACTGATCCATTCGGGGTTAATAGTATCGGCATCTGAAACGGCGAATCCATTATCCCTCGGCTCGCCGTTAAATAAAACCCACTTTCCCTCACCTTTACCCTTCCTTTGTTCTCTTCATCCTCCCTCCTTTCGCCCCAATCCTTTCGTCGCGACGCCAAATACGCGCCGATTAACTCGCAATCCCCTTTTATCGACCAATCCCCCCCTCCTTCTCATCGATCTCTCGAAACGGAAGCGTTTTCCCCGTTGGCCGGCTACCTCGCGTCATCGTCACGATCTCGCCGGATTCGACCCGACCTCGTGAACCCACGCCACACTCCACCCATGCCACACTCGGCTAGAACTCGTGTAAAAGGATCCCAGGTTCGCGCGGTGCCGCTTCCATTCGCCCTTCCATCGCGATCTCGCGGGAAATGGAGCACGCCGCTCGATTATATTCCACCGAGGTCGAACGCCGCCCGTTCTTCCACTCTCTCTCTCTCTCTCTCTCTCTCTCTCTCGCATCACGGATCGCGCCGCCTCTCGTGCCACTGTTATCCAACGGGAACCGTTTTCCCGTGCAAATTCAATTAAAAATGAAGATGACCTCGATCGCTCGCTTTACCGCACCACGGTAACGCGATACATCGTTCGGTCGCCGTTACGCCAATTTCCGACGGATTACAGTGAAATCGCTGGCATAACCGCGCTCCATCGCAGTTTCTTGTCGCGTTAAGCGATTCGATGTTACGTATTATCGCCTCGTTTGCCGCTTATTATCCTTCGTCCCTCGGTTAACGCGTTACGTACCACTTTCCATCCAATTTTCTATTCGCACCGCGTATATATATATATATGCGTGCTCGCGTCCAACGCCGATATTACACGCATCGCTTGGAAAGCGACTCAAAGGGATTAATTCTCGACGAGTATACGTTCGCATAGAAAAATATTCCCCGTGTACGAATCGTCTCTTAACAAGCGTGAAATATCATTACACTTTGATCTCTTCTCCGCTCGTTGTTTTTATTTTTCTTCTTTTTCTTTTTTTTTTTTTTTNTTTTTTTTTTTCTTTCTTTTGCGAAACGTAACGCTCGAGTTCCTAAGCGCGGAGATCGCGTGATCCATTTGTTGCGTATAGTTATTCCCAGGGCGAAGAAACGTTATTAATCTTCCCTTCGATGCGCTCGAGAGGCTGTCGACGCCGAGCACGAGAACTATAGCATCGAGAGTTTCCGCCTCGACCTGCCGAGGGTCGAGGTCATCCGCGTAATTTCACCTAAACAAATCGACCCGCGCTATCCTCCTCTCCTCCACCCATTTTCCACGTATCATTCTCGAAGCCAACGTCGATCGTGCACGCGCCGTTTACTCGGTCCATTGGCCATCGTCCAATCCCCGCTTCCTCCTTCCAAACTTGGATCGACGTCCAACTTGGATCGATGCGCCAAGCGATCTCTTGCTCGACAACCTTCGACGCGGATTAATAATAAAAAAAAAAGTTTGAATAAAAGTCGAGACGAAATTTTTAAGATAATACCATGTACCATCTTTTCAAATTACCTCCTCACCTTGATCGATTCACCTTCCGCTTCGATTTTTGAATTTCTCAACATTCGAATCGTAGGATTTTATTCGTGTCGTTATCGAACGATATACATCTCTATTGAAAAGTTCGCTTTCACGCTGCTCGTGCTCTCCATCTCCGGGAAGAATTTTTTTTTCTTTGCGCCGTTTCCCGAAGTCGTGCCTATTTCACAATCACGACGTTAATTCCGGAAACGGCCCGACGAGGCGAGAGAGTCTCGCCGACACAACCACTTGTCATCCGCTTAATCGACGTAGCGCCGGATCGAATTTAGCGAGAGCGGAACACGACCGCAGCCAGCCCCAACCACCTGAAAGTAACGGAGAGTAATGAATATTTTATAAGGATAGAGAGTCAACCTTCCTACCACTTCTCTTTTCCCTCCCCAAACCGACATCCTTCCGTTTCCGATGGAAAAAGCCTTTCCAAAGTCTCCGTCCCGCATATCGCCGCGACGTGATTGCTACGTATTTCACGCCGGGGTCGTTTCAATCGAGCATTATCGCGCCGGAGAAACCAACAACGAGGCCGCGTTGCTGCTCGCCTTTGCCTCCAATCCGTACAGTCCTTGTCACACAATCGTGATGATTCCACCGAGTGAAAAGTTTTTTCTCTTTTTCCCCCTTTTTTCATCTTTAAAAAGAAGAAGAAGAAACAAGAAAAGAGTTTCTTGATCCCAAGATATTGGGTGAAAAGTTTTTTCTTTCTTTTCTTCTTTTTTTACCTTTAAAAAGAAGAAGAGGAAGAAGAGAAAAGAAAAGAGTTTGAGATTCTTGATCCCAAGATATAGGGTGAAAAGTTTTTTCTTTCTTCCCCCTTTTTTCATCTTTAAAAAGAAGAAGAAGAAGAGGAAGAAGAAGAAACAAGAAAAAAATTTCTTGATCCCAAGATATTAGGTGAAAAGTTTTTTCTTTCTTTCCCCTTTTTTCATCTTTAAAAAAAAGAAAAAGAAGAAGAGGAAGAAGAGGAAGAAGAAGAAACAAGAAAAAAGTTTCTTGATCCCAAGATATTAGGTGAAAAGTTTTTTCTTTCTTCCCCCTTTTTTCATCTTTAAAAAGAAGAAGAGAAAGAAGAAGAAAAAAGAAAAGAGTTTGAGATTCTTGATCCCAAGATATTGGGTGAAAAGTTTTTTCTTTCTTCCCCCTTTTTTCATCTTTAAAAAGAAGAAGAGAAAGAAGAAGAAAAAAGAAAAGAGTTTGAGATTCTTGATCCCAAGATATAGGGTGAAAAGTTTTTTCTTTCTTCCCCCTTTTTTCATCTTTAAAAAGAAGAAGAAACGAGAAAAGAGTTTGAGATTCTTGATCGAAAAATTCCGGGATCGGGTGAAAAGTTTTTTCTTTCTTTTCCCCTTTTTTCATCTTTAAAAAGAAGAAGAGAAAGAAGAGAAAAGAAAAGAGATTCTTGATCCCAAGATACCGGGTGAAAAGTTTTTTCTTTCTTTCTCTCTTTTTCCATTTAAAAGGAAAAAGAAGAGGAAAGAAAAGAGAGGAACGGGATCACGATTGAAACGTACTCGTGGAGTGTACGCGTACACGTGTACCGTGCGATGCTCGAGCGAAGGCGTAAGCGCGAAGGAAGGGCCATAAGACACGTATGTTTATATCGTGGCGCGCCGTGCACCGCGTTACGTGGGGTGGCGCGCATGTTACGCTCGCGGAAATGTATGTATACACATCGGCTACGCGCTCCTGCTTACACGCCACATATAATACGCGCTCCCGCGCGTATCGTTCTTACGATTGCGCTTCCATTTCGCGCGGCAACGCGCTCTCGGACGCCTACCGAATTTATTCACCCGAGGGGCTAACTCTCGGCCCTCCGAGATACCGATTTAATCTCGCTTCCTGCCTCTCGCGATCTTGGGATCGCGGCGAGTTTAAGGGGATGCCGATGCATCGCCGAGATACGGAAGGTGGCCGGATGAAATCGAATCCACGCTTTCTCCGGCTACGATATTAAGGATTATTTAGGATAAGGATGTTGCGTATTGTACGCGCCACCAACTGGCCGTTCATTTTTAACGGGATTCGAGTTAATTATGGAATTATCCGAGATGGAGATAATAAACGGCTCGATCCTTTATCACTTTGTACGTACGCTTAAATGAATTTTACCACGAGGAGAGATTACTTTTCGAAAGCAACCAGTCGAAACTCACTTTCGTCGTATTTCGAGTGGAAGCCGTCCACTTTTCAAACTAACGCTTTTTCGAACACCATCGAAGCAGAATATCGAAAGGAGTAGTATCGATAAATCGTGCGTTTAATCCCTACGTAAAAGTCGAAAAAAACTTTGCAAATTAAAAGAAAAAATACGCGAAAAGACGAGAAGCGAAGTAAGAATCGTGGTTCTTTGGTTGGCAGTAGGGAACGGCCTGACCCGGCCTGCGCGCTCAATTATAAAAGAGGTCTCGGATTCATAGTTTGACGGAGAACGTATGCACGCCCACTGTTGCTTCATCGGCTGCTCCTCCCTTCGCGAGCGTAATGCGAAAAGCCTCGAGTCGGATCGGCGCAAAAAGGTCGCGAGCGGCAACTCGTTAAGAAGGAGGAGGAGGAGGAGCGCGTGCTCTCCATCCTCTCCAAATTACAATCTTCTTATTTACATTCCCGCTAATTGCACGTTCCCTCGCGCGACTTTGTCTCCCGCGGTGATTTTCGCTCTAATAAATCGGACGAGGAGATCTCGTCGGATGTTTTAGTTTCTCGCCAGGATCCAGGTAGCAATCGCGGTACGACGCGATTCCATCGGCTGCTCCTCGATGGATGGATGGATGGATTCGCTCTCGTTTTCGTTCGACGATCGTTCGTATCGTTTCGCGTCCCCTCGCATCGGTCACGGACACCGGATTCCGAGCTCGTTTTCGAGAAACTCGACTCCACCGCGGGTAGATTCCGGCCGCTGATCCCTGCGCAAGACGGACGCGAGATCACGATGAAAACATTCCGTCCTTTCACGAAACGAGCGGCCCGAATTCCAACCGTTTCCGTTTAGAATCTCTCTCGCGGAGAGGTAGAAAATCTTGGACTCGTTCGCTCGAGATTAGATCGGAAAATTTCCAAGCCTATGGAGCGTAATTAGATTAATTCGAACAAAGAGAAAAGCGCTATATAATAAAAGCAAGAAGAAAGCCAGAAGAAGGGGAAGAAGAAGAAGAAGAAGGAAAACGGATAATAGTCGGCAAGGACAGGCGGTATTCAAATGCGGTTGTTGTTGCTTCTGCTTCTGCTTATTGCCTGTACGGTACGCACGGCAATATTTTTATAGGCCGGCACGGTCGCGGGACAACCGTAAGCGTCTTCCCTTTTTCTTCCTTCCTCCTTCATCCTCGAAAACTCCACTCCCGTTTCTCCTTTCTCGAATACGTGCCGCGCGCAAAAAAGGAAAAAAAAAAAGGAAAAGGAAAAGGAAGAGAGAGAGGGGACACCTCTGTCCCTTTTCGCGTACATCACCAAGCTTTACTACTCATTGTCGGGAAATATAGCGACGCGGTGACACGCGGAGAATTCCTCGAGGCGGGCGAACCTTTGTGCCTCGCAAGAACACGACGTGTCGTTACTGCGGGCATAATTTCCGTTTCGCGCGATTATCGGCGAATGCTTGGTTAAAGGTGACGGCCGCCTTGGATTCTCATCACCGTCCAAAACATCCTTACCCTTCTTTCGTTTCGTGGAAACGAAAATAAAAAATTCCACGCCGATGATAACAGCTTGCGCGCTTATCGATCATTGGAGCGGCGATTTTCCTACGTCCACCTCTTCGTTTATTAGTTATCACCGTCAATACCGTGGTATTGCAAAAAGAATATCGTGGTGATTTCATATCGAAGGCAAGAAAATGGGAATCAATAGCGAAAGAAGAGGAAGAGATTCGATCGAATCTCGGGTAAGATAGCCTGTTGGGACAGATAGGCTAATTGGAATCCATCTTTTGTCCGCTTTAACGAACGCACAATGGAATTATACCGAGTATGTACACGGACGAATCGCGTTAAATCGCGAGGATATATCCTTGCGCGCGGAACGGATGGATATTTGGATTCGAATCGCACTTGTGTTTCTCCTTGTGGCGTTTCGGGAGCGAGGTAAAGGGAACGGAATCGATTTTCTCGCGTGTTACGGATGGGCCGGAGAACCCGTTCACATTCCACCGAAACGGTCCGCCTCGATCCCCGATATCCCCGTTGGGATCATTAGCGTGAGATCGTGTGACGTAACGAGGCAATCAGTGTCCCAACCGTCCGAGTAACGATCGTGTACCGAGAGAGGTATTAGCATCGTGGACGGACGGCCGATACCGTTAAACAAAACCTTACCTCGTGATCTTTGCCCCGGAGGGTCGATGACGAGGACGATCTTGTCGTATCCGATGCTGCGCCTCTCTCGCCTTCCACTCCGTTCGTCTTCTCTTCGCCTCCGCCGCGAATCGGACGAGCCAACGATCTGGATCGCCGTCTCTCTCCCTCCCTCTCCCCCATCCGGGCCAACAAACATGGCCGAGCAGCCAACCGTTTCGCTCCGTTTCCCGTTACCGCCGTCGATTCGCCATTTCGTCCATCGAAATCCGTTCTTTCTCAACGAGAAAACGAGAAATATTCGTTCGATTTGGATTCGAGCGTGAGCTCCGTGTTTGTCGTTCGCTCGCGTCCAACGAGAGGGAGAAAGAAAATCCGCGTGCGTAAAACTCCGTTACATAGTTGCCAAACGTTGTCGACGGATCAACGCGCGATTGCCAATTTCCTCGATGGTTCATTTATTTTTTCCATTATTGATCGGTATTTGGACAGGAGTCGGGACTAAATCGGGACTATTAAACTCGACGTATCCGAGGTGTATTCCGTATATGGAGAAGGAGCGGTGTACGCCGCTGTACGTGGTTGCGCAAAAGTGGAGTGACGGGGGAGAGGGAGATATCCGTCGATCAGGATAAGACGTTGGAAAGGATAATGTACGGAACGAAGGTTGGGCCAGAAACGGGAGAGATTACCGGTGGAAAGACAGCGGGTGCATTGTCCCGGTTGGTGGTTCTCTCGCGAGAATGCGGCTTTCCGTGGTCTGGGTTCAAAGGCGCCGACCGGCCGCCACGCTGACGCTGAATTTCGCCAAATAGGTACACGTGGCCGCATAATGCCGCGCATTATATTCAGAAACGGTGAGCCGGCTCGCGTTTGAGGACTCCTTCGGTCGTGCTTTGCGTGGACGGACGAAAGGTAAACCGACCATCTCTCTCTCGACCTTTGCCTCCGAGAAGACAGCCGACTTCAGACTTTCGCTTTTCGTTTCGATTTTTGGAGAAGAAGTCGCCGCGGTT